ACGTGAGTGCCGCCGCCGCCTCCGCGCCTCCTGCCCAGGCCCGCCCCTCCCTCCCGCCACTGAGGCGTCCCCCCTGTGGGGGCGGAGCTGATGGTCAGACAGACAGACAGACGGACAGACTGCTCCCCCCGCCCCAGCCCTCTCCTCCCCGGCCGGCCCTGGAAAGGACTGGGGACCCACCCGGCTTCTTTCTGGGCCCACCTGGCTCTGCAGCTCAGGCCCCTCGAAGTAGGCTGGCCCGGGTGTCACCCCAAATCCTGTGCAGCTCTCTAACTGGGAGGGGCACCTAGCCTCCCGCCGCCCCGCCCAGGGCCTTCTCCAGCCCTCCCTGCCCGTCTTGAGCCCACTCTGCTCCAGTCCACCTGCTGAGCCGCCTGAGGCCCTGGGGCCCTGGGAAGGCAGAGCTGGGCATGGAATGGGGTAATGATTGGCCCTGTCAGCTCAGGGCCTTGGGGTCTCTGGTGAGGGAAGGGTTTAGGGAGCTGGTGTGGAGAGGGCACTGGGCACAGTGACCAACACACAGATGCCCCATCACGTCTCTGGCCGGGGATCATGGACAGTGGGGGAGAGGCGGATCCGGCCCCCACCAGGGAGAGGCCTCCCTTGCTTCCGGACAGGCCCACAGGACACCACCCTTGGCTGCCACGGCCTGGCTCTGGTGGCCATTGCCGGCTGCCAGGCCAGGGAGCTCCCACAGACCCCCGTCTCCGCACAGACCCCTGCGGCCAAGAACTCTGCCCCACCCCCAGCACCCCTGCCTCACCCCCATCTGCGCCCAGTTTGAGGCCTGGAGGGCTGGGCACCCCGACCCTGGCTCATCGTGCTCCTGACACCTGGTCTGGCCCCTCCTCAGGAAAGGGGTCCCCAGGAAACTGGCCCCCCTTCCCAGGTGAAATCTGTTCAGGGTGGATGTCAGCCCAGCCTGGTCCTCACTGTCTCCCCGTCAAACCTGGGCACACCCGGGCCTTGTCTCCCCGACGCCCCCCACAAGGGCAGACTTCTACCCAAGGCTTCATCCGACTTCTCCCTCATCGCCCCCACTCCCACCCACCCATCCTACCTGGCAGGACCCCCCTCAGGCCTGCTCCCCCTGGGCCTGTGCTGCCCCTCCCCCAGTGCCAGCGGTCCATGCCCCTCACTCGGCCCCACCAGCAGGTGGGCGCTGCAGCCTCCAGGGCACACAGCACACAAGCCAGGAGCTCGGCCTGTGGTGGACCCTCCCTGGGGGGTGGGGGGCTAGTTCTCAGAGGCCGAGTGAAGCGGCAGGTGGAGGAGCTGCCACCCACGCCCACCCTGCTCTGCCCCTCCGCCCCCACTTCTGTCTCCTCCCCATCCAACCCCCCACTCTGGCTCCATCCACACCTCAGAGGCACAGACGTCTCCGTTTCCTTCAGCTTGACGGCCCCTGACCTCCAGGACTCTGTCCTTTTCTTGCTCAAACACTCTCCGGTCTCCCTGGGCCTCACCTGCCTCCAGACCTCTCTCTGGACACCCCCTCCCCTGCTATGACTCTGGTCCTGGAGGCCGCAGTGGTCGCCTAGCTGTCCCTTCACCTCGTGTCCTCGCCTCACTCCGGTCTGTCCGTGTCACGCCGTCTGAACCCTTCCTGGTCGGCTCTGGGATCGAGGCCAAGGCTTCCCCCGGCACGCGAGGGCCTGCCCAGGCTCCCTCCGGCCTCTGCCCGCTGCTCCCGGCCTGGGCCTCGGCCACCTGGCCTCCCTCCCCGTGTTCCCCACGGGCTCGAAGGCTTCTGTCTCCTCCGCCTCCTCCGCCTCCATTCCCGTGGCCTCTGCCAGGCCCGTCCACCTGCTCAGAGGTGCAGGCTTCCCTGAGCCCCTGGAGGCCGCCCTGAGTCCGGGGGCCAGTTGTCCCAGTCCCTCCTGCTCCCATCACCCCGGCCGGGTCTGCAGGGCCGGCGCTGCCTGCTGGGACCTCCAGCAGAGCCCAGCCCTGGGCAGTACCTGCTGGATGCCGGATGCCGGCTCTCCCCTCGGAGGCGGTCCCCACCCTCGTCCCAGGTTTTCAGTTGGCAGGAAGGGCCCCGGCGCGGGAGCTCCTTGGATGGCCGGGCGCTGATCCAGGCTGGGGCTGCCCCTCCCCCACAGGATCCCAGCTGTCACCGTCCCAAAATAGCCTGCATCTGTGGGCAGGTGTGCCAGGGCTGGGTGGCGCTGCCAGTGGGCAGAGCTGGCCCTGTGGACCGTGGGGGGAGATGGGGACAGTTGTAGGGGACTTTCCTGCCCGGAGCCTGGTGCCAGCCTTCGGGGGGACGGGGGGGGCGGGTGCCCCATCCCACCTGGCGCTCTGCTGCCTCCCCAGGTGATCGGGCTGCTGGACGTGTTCACTCCAGATGAGACCCTGGATGACTTCACAGACTTGTGAGTTCCGGTCTGGGCCGGCCGGGCAGGGTAGAGGGGTGTGGGGTCACTCCTGGGCGCCAATTCTGGGTTGGTGTGGGGACCTGCTGAAGGCAGGCCTCTCCCTATAGCCTGGAGGGGGTTGGGGTGCACACTGCCCACCCTGTCTTCACACCACAGTCCCCTTCCCTGGGACCCACACCCGGGCATGGCCAGGTGGGACCTGGGCCTCCTCTCCCCTCCACCATGGGCACCAGGCTGTCTCCAGTGCCGGAGGTGCGAGCCTTGGGCCCGAGCATTCGTTAACTGGCAGGTCCTGGCCCCTGGGCCCTGGCACTGAGTGCGTGGCCATGACTGAAGCTGCTGACCTTTTCGGGAGGGGAGGGGAGGGGTGGGGCGGGGCGGCATGGTGCCTGCCCTGTGGCTGCCTGGGCAGCATCTCCTGGGCTCACACTGCTGTCGGCCAGGAGCCAGGGGCCTGGCCCGGGAAGGGCTGGGAGGACCGCTCCCTGCCGCCTGACCTTGCGGAGGTCAAGGACCCGCACTGGCCAGGAGTCAATGCCTCTCGCTCCGTCTCCCTCCACCTCCCCTGTGCGATAGCCCTCGGACCTCCGTGTCCTGCTTTCCCGCTGCGCCCGCAGGCCCTCCCTCCCCTGCCTGTGGGCACTGGGTCCCCAGCCCCTCGCCTGGCACAGTCCCTGCCCCTGTGACATTCTGGGGTGGGGGCGGGGGTAGGTGCTTGGAGGTCGGGGCCTGGGGTCTTCCTGGGTCTGAGCCTGCTCCAACCCACAGTTACCTGGTCATGCCGTTCATGGGCACAGACCTGGGCAAGCTCATGAAGCACGAGACACTGAGCGAGGACCGCATCCAGTTCCTCGTCTACCAGATGCTGAAGGGGCTGAAGGTGAGGGCCTGCGGGCGAAGGCGGCTGTCCCCTGGCCGGCCCGAGGCTGTGAGGGCCCGTGAGCCCCCACGGCTGACCCTGACCCTCTCTGTCCCCACAGTATATTCACGCGGCCGGCGTCATTCACAGGGTGAGTCCTGGGGGTGGAGGGAGCTTCCCTGCTCTGGGCATTCGAGGGGCTCAACCCCTAGGAGCCTGTTTCCCACCTGTGGGGGCACGAAGGGGTCCAGAGGGTGTCACACCGCCTGCACACAGCCCGGGGCCTGGGCACCTCCACCCTCCCCAGTGCGTCTGCTCCCAGGCTCTGCCGCCGCCCCGGCTCCTGCCCTTGCACCCCTGCTGGCGGGCGACACAGCCACCTTTCATCCACCCCCAGGACCTGAAGCCCGGCAACCTGGCAGTGAACGAGGACTGTGAGCTGAAGGTGTGTGTGGGGTTGGGGCTCAGGCTCCTCCCACCTGCCCATCTGCCTGCGACGCCGCCCTCTGCCCCCAGACCAGAGGAAGGCTGGCCCCCCCAGGCGGAGGGCTCAGCCCTGAGGCAGTGGCCAAGCAGCTGATGGCCAGATGGGCCTGGGGAGGCACCTGATGGGGGTGGCATTGTGTACACCCTGCTTGGGGTGGGGGGCAGGTAGTGGTCCCTCCTTCCTGAGCTCGGGCAGGACCTAAGACACCTTCCCAGCCCAGCTGGAGTGGCTCAGTGGTTAGAAGGTCGCGGTTCGATTCTGGGTCAGGGCACATCCTTGGGTTGCAGGCTCCATCCCCAGTGTGGGGGCGTGTGGTTCTGTCTCATCATTGATGTCTCTATCCCTCTCCTTTCTTCTCTCTGAAATCAATTTTAAAAAATTAAAAAAAAAAAGACCTTCCCAAAGGTGCTGGCTACGATCTAGGGCAGTGATGGTGAACCTTTTGAGCTCGGCATGCCAGCATTTTGAAAAACCCTAAGTTAACTCTGGTGCCGTGTCACATATAGACATTTTTTGATCTTTGCAACCAGAGTAAAACAAAGACTTATATTTTTGATATTTATTTTATTTATTTAAATGCCATTTAACAAAGAAAAATCAACCAAAAAAATGAGTTCGCGTGTCATAGGTTCACCATCACTGATGTAGGGGACGGGGAGTGAGGAGCAGGGAGGGAGGCGCCAGGGCGCCTGGTCCT